AATGACATTTGAGCGGACGGCCAATCAGCGCGCGACACTCCGGGCGTGGCGCATTCCACGCGCGACAGATTGCGGGCTGATTCGCCGATCACACAAATGTCATTTGTTGTAAATGGCATTCGAGTTGCCCGTGCGGCATGGGTATTACTCAGATTTGCAACATGTACGTGCATTCCTCCAACAGGCGCTTCATCGGCAAACGAACGACGCAGGAAAGAATTGTGGATGAAGACCCGATCGAACGACTGGTGGAGCCGGATAGTTTTAACCCGGTTCACCGACAACATCTGGAAAAAGAAATTCCGAATGACTCGTGCATCCTTCAACGAGCTGGTGTCACTTGTATCACCTCTTATGTCTCCTAAGCCTTACTGTCTGAGAGCACACGTGCCCTCAAAAAAAAAAAAAAAGTGGCTATCGCTTTCCACAAAATGGCAAGCTGTTGCGAATACCGGGTCGTAGCAAATCAGTTCTGTGTAAGAGCACCGTGAAGAAACGCGTCTACATGTTCTGCCGTACCATCGTTAAGTATTACCTACATGAATACATACGACCGCCATCAACAGAAGAAGCAGAAAACATTTCACGAAACTTTGAAGCGAGGTGCCACCTTTTAGGTATTTTTGGAGCCATTGATGGCACTCATGTCCCAACCCTGGCGCCCAAGAAAGGATATCGAGATTTCGTCAACAGAAAGATTTGGACTTCCTTGAACGTTCAAGCTATAGACCTTTCCAGAAAAGGGCTGCTGGCCGGTTTCATTTTCAGTGTTCGTGCGTATCGCGCGTGATTTGCTCGCTTTCCGAAGCGTCGCACACGCGCGTGCTGAGCTGTGGAGATCGCACGCTGAGCTGTGGATTTGTAAACATTGGAAAGGTCTATAGTGGATGATCGTGGCCAGTAAGTTTCTGTAACCTACTGAGTGCTTACTCCATCGACCACTAAGCTGACAGGGCGGTTTAGAGTGCCTTCATACACACGATGTAGGCACCCTAGGGCGGTTGAAGCTACAGCTCACCGGAATGAAGCATGGTGCCAGGCGCCAAAACAACGGACACAATGAAGTAGACACACACACAGGCACCTGTGTGTGTGTCTTATCCCATGTTTGCGCTGTTTTTGCGCCGTACACCATGCTTCATAATGTTCACTAACTAGCCGAACCACAAGCCCTTCTACAACTCACCGGAAAAATGGACTGGCAAGCTTTTACCCAACCTCAATCTTTGCACATGAGCATGCAGAAAGGGTTCAATCATGTTGAACTGACACTTGACTGGCGCGAGCATGCCGCCTCCGGTTCCCCGAGCTATCGAGTGGGCGAATTGAACTTGTTTTGTTTCTAGACGCATGCCTGTTTTGAAGCAGCAGATGTCCAAAGTAACCGAGGAACAATAGAAACGACAAATATGGGTCACCCTTGCATGTTGGTTCTTTAGATGGGTTTCATGTGCAATGGCACAGCATCAGTCACGGTATTTGTAGTTTTTACATTTCGGAGCATCACATGTAATGTCCCTGGAAGTGCACTAGATACACCAGTTCTAAGGCTGCCCACGGTGTACCTTAAGAGCGAAGAACTTCTGCCAAGGGAGGAAAGAATACTTCGTGAACGTTCAATTCCATTCATGCTGCTCGGTGACCCTACCTATCCCCGACTGCCTGGGATTTTGAGTACTATGCCTGGTCAAGTGACCGAAGGAGGGACAGGGCAACAAACAACGGACAGACACAAACAGGGCAGTGGCGGACGGCGGGGTGTTGTATCACAGGGACGCCTGTTAATCCTCGTTCACGCCGCTTCGCGGCGACAGTCTACCGGCGGCAAATTACAAAGTGACACAGGCGAACTATTCGCCACTCCAACTGACTATAGATGGCACAACTCGTTTTCCAAAATGGCGGTTATAATGGGAGTCGGAGATGCCTTTTCAGTGTGCTGGCTTGACTGAGCGACAGAAATTGTTCCTGCTTATAGGATGAAGCTAGATGATTATGAGCGCAGGTCACCTCTTTATCCTGAAAGCTAAAACGGTGTTTAGCGTAGTATTTACGCCAGGAGGCACGTCTTTATTCTGGAAAGAAACCGAAACTAACCTCTATTTTGGGTTTAATTTCAAAGTATTGGTGTGAATATCGGATTCTTTCATAACTCAAGGTGTATCTCAGCGTTATGATTAAGCTAAAGAAGTTGTTGGCAGAAGCTTTATTTTGTGACACACGTGCCCGATCCAGGCACTTTAAAATAATTTGGAGTTCAGTGTTCCTTCAAAGACAGTTTTTTTTATAGACCTTAGAGGTAACATATAAAATTGTATTTGTTGAACAAATATGTGCTGATATACGTGTGTTCTCGCTCTTTTTTCTCGCCCAGATAATTGTCACGTGAAATAATGAACTGCGGGTTTTTAATGGATGTTTGGGTATTTAGATGATTCATTGCTTTAATTCCCAACACAAGAGAAACAAAATCAATCCAAATTGTACAAAATATCACCACGGGCGCCTAGTTTAGAATATGTTCGTAAAACGTATAAATAAAAGGTAAATGTTCTCACTACAAAAACCCAAAGACAGAATCCGAGTCAAACAATAGAAGTAGGAGGGTTTTTTTTTTAAGCAACGGGTGACGCATATGACTTTATGTTCCACACAGTGTTTGGCTGTTTCTTTATAAATATATCTCGATAAAGATGTCAAAATTTTACATATGCTAAAAATAAAACGAACTGAGGCCTTTCTGAAAAGTTGTTTATGGTTAGATGGCGTATATGTCTGACCGTAGCATTCATTATTGGTCCTACATTGTCGCTATTTGTATTATTAACAATAATAGAAGGAAGATATTTGAACGCGTAGTTTTTCAAGCTCTAAAATAATTTGTTGCTTGAGATCTAAATTCAAACGCGCGAAAAAGTATGGCAATTAAACGTGACCAGATTATCATCACTGCAGCATTGCACGATTTTAATTAACGAGTCATAAAATGTAAATACTTTAAAGTGAATGCAAACGTTCTAGCTAACCTGATCAATTCATGTAAAACTACATTAATTGTGGGCAACGCATATGGTGTTATCAAAGTCGCGACCTTTGACAATTGGGAATCCTTACAAAGTCGCCGGCAATACTTTCAAAACAAATGCCGCCCCCCTCCCCTTGGAAAGGCATGACATTGACAAGACAACGGCGCATAAGAATTTTTTTTTCTCTAAAAATTATTTTTTTTTTTTAAAGGGGGGGCATTTTTCCGGAGCATTTAGTCTCTTAATTCTTACGCGCCGTCGCCTTGCCAATTTTATGTCTTTCCAGTTCGAAGGACGCCTGCCCGCTTGCAGGCGTGCTCACTGCAGTAGTTTCGTTGGAGTTGGAAACCGGTGATACGGCAGTGAGTTTTAGTATTGCATATACGAATGAACGCAAGTGCTGTGTGTTTGCGTTAGCTCTGCGTGTTCCACACTGCGCGTGCGCGGAGCCCAAGATTGCGGTCTTCGATTGGCGCATTGCGATGACGCGCAAGCACAACGTGGAGCAGGCAACTCGAACGGAAATGCAGTTGTGTTTGCTTCTTTACGCAATACTAAAGCTCTCCAGTAAAGTACAATCCCACACCGGCTGCAACACTATGATGGGGCGGTGAAGAGTGTTATTTGCGTCAGGAAATGACATTTGGCGAACCCAGATCGCGGCCAGTTGCGCCGTGCCAGCTGAGCAGGAGAATCGGGGGACCCTCAACAGAGCGCTTCCCGTCTCCGCCACGGGAGGGCGACCCACGAGTTGGAGACGCGAATAGGTATTTGGCGATAAACTAAAGGCTCACGTTCCCGTGTGCTGACCGACGCGACCCGCCTCGTTCACGCCGCTTCGTGGCGACCCTCTGCTGCGGCACATCACAAGGCGACGCGATGACCGCAGCTAACGGTAAATATTTGGCTGACAAACCCCCAACGCCGCGTGGTTGAGCGCTAAAAGCACCGAAATCTCTCGAGGCGGCATCTCTATATCCGAGGCGGCATCTGTGTACGCGCGTAGCACTGGCGCGCGTTTTAACCAGCCAGTGCTTGCGCATATTCGTGACGGGCGTCAAAAAAGGCCTATCAAAAAGGCCTTGAATACGCCCCGTGTTTTACTCCGCGAGGAAGCAGCTCTAAGCGTCCCGGTCTGAAGGTCCCCTTTTCCCGAAGAGCTCGAAGCGTCCCGAATTATCTCCTCGTATGTTTACGTCGAAACTTGAGTCTCCCAAAAGCGGATAGAACGAAGCTTCCTGGAAACACCGGTTTTCGTGTGGAGGCATGCGGTTTAGAGAAACTCGTTTTAGCTAACGCCATTTTGCCGACCCCAGTTCTTCGATTCTTTTTATAGATAAACACAGTTTAAAGAGAATCGCGATGAGCCTCCTTTTAGCGAGATCGACCGCCGCGAAGCGGCGTGTACGAATGGGTCAGGTGAGTTAACAGCTTTGTAATGAGCCATTGCAAACTGCCGCCATGAAGCGGCGTTAATGCAGGGGAGTTTGGGGACCGATAACAACGGCGAATTCCTTGAAGACAGCCAGGGGAGCTTGTGAGTGGCGATCCGCATCCACGTGACGAGTACGCTCTAATTCCTTTGTCCAAGGACTCAAGCGGAGCCAAGTTCCCCCCGGCAAAAAAAATGTGCGAAAGCGGGCCAGGGTACGGCATACGCCGTCACTTTTGAAAACGCTTTATCTATAGTGAGAGGAGACACGCATTCTGGGGTCCTAATTAAGCTGGACAGTCGGGGACAATGTCGGCGAGATTTCTAACCGCCGCGATTAGCCAGCGTCGCGCTTGAACTTAGCTCCGGCAAATCGCCGAGGTCACAAATCTCCCCGACTTCATCGCCCACCGTCCAGCCTAGAGCCCCTGCTGTGTCCAGTTCTGACAGCCTTTTAGTGTGCATCGCAGTTCAATTTGCTTGTAGCGCCTAATTTCAGCGTGTCTGTCGTGGTCAGAGCTCCAAAGCCGCTGAATCCGCAGGACGAAGACCGAAAGCGGGGCGGCATCACCCTGTCTCGCTACCAGGAGCTCTTCGCCGAGTTCCTGGGCTGCCCGGACGTCTCAGGCCAGGGGATCTTCCTGTTCGGTCCGCTGCCGGACTACGCCTGAGCTCGCCTACCCAAGAGGAGCCGCCGGTCGCTGAGCCCAACAAGCTCCTTGGCGCACGTCGGGATCCCAGTCTAGGGTCGAAAGACTCAACATTTCTGCGTAGAGTTGTACCAAGTCGGTTCGATGATTTCCTTACCGTGTTGCGCACCCAAAAGCTCCAACTTGCTTTTTTTTAATTATTAGGAGGTTGTATTATCAACGATTACAAACAATTAGAAAAGCCCCCTGAAAAAAAAAATGGTCCCTTCGGGGAAACATTTTCGGCGGCGTCGATGTACAGATTATGACTGTAAAGGGATAATTAGCTACTTGATTACCTAAACTTCAAGAGCTCACTGTTCAGACTTTTGTCTTCGGCGGCGCCTTTCGCGCAATAATGAAATAAATGTTGTTCGAATTCAGGCAACTAACTTTTGATCCGCGCTATATTCTAGTAAATTAAGAACCACAAGGGGGCCATGATGCAGGCACAAAAACAAAAGGTCGACGGAGGCCCCACCTGGAAGTGACGTCGTTCTTCACCGCGGGCCTGGAAAGAAAACCATCGCAAGCTCATCCAATGCGCAGTTTCAGCGAATAAAGGGGGCGCTGCGGAACTCAAATATGGTGGTCAAGAGGGTGATCGGTTCGCCTCGTGGGCCTCAAACTTAATCGGAATCGACGTGTTCTGGGACAGATAATACTGTACGATCAACTTCAGCATTTCCTTCGGCCGTGATTTATTATGTTTTTGTTTAAGATGAACAGGAAGATAGTTGAACATTTGAAAAAAACATTGTAGCTGCGGGCCACGCAACACAAGAGGTCACCCACCGCTGACTGGTCGCCCAAGGTTAGCATAAAAAAATTGAGCGCCGCAACTCCTTTGATACGCCGCTATTCAGCAGTACGTCACTAGACGAGGCGCCTCTGCGTTAAACACGATTTATGTTATGTCACGATTTGTGTGGCAAGTGTTGATCGCCAAGGAAGCAGTACAGTACGGTTGCTCCTTGGGCAAGGACCGAAAACCTTCGGAAACAACGGCAAGCAGGATAAGATCAATTTCAGTTTCGTGAACGTCATTCAAAACGTTAATTTCTTTTCGGGCATATTACAATGCGATGGACCAAATCGCTTCATTGTCACCTTGCAAGAACGAATCGCTCGACGGCTATCATTCGCGGGGCTGGTGGCAGAGGCACGAGTCCGCGGCGGATTATTTGGGTTTCTCCTTTCTCTTCCTTTATTGTCAGTAAACGTCGTTGTAAGTAGCGCTCTTTTCTGCCCTCTCCTTCTTCTCTCTACCTTGTGCGCTAAATACCTCAACATATGAGCTACGAATCATTCGAGAATATTTTGCGCAGTACCCCAAACGTTATGCGCACTACGCCCGTCCAAATATTGCCCTCATGTGCAAGCCTTGTACATTGGCCCAAAAATAACGAGGAAACAATCCCTGAAATATAACACGGTTTACCGTCGAACAGCACAATTTCGAGTAGGTAGGTGGTTATTTATGCTATGCTCGGGAATGGAGCAAACTCAAGATGCAGCAGTGAACGAGGTCGTCCACAAAAGCCGTGATTATCTCGAGTCAGAAGGTCAATCAAAAGACCATACGCGGAATGCGACAGTGTCGACAAAGAGAGAGCGCACATAGATAGCACTTGTGCACTTTTAAGTGTACCTAATGCACGTAGTGCACTTGCATTGGTTATATTCAAAGCCACGTTTAACCCGCCTTTGCTCTCAGAATTAATCTTCAGAATTTACGAGGGAGCACTTGTTTACCATCCGTCGACTGTGACAACTTTTGTTTAGGGCAAGTGCATTCTCGGCAAGCGGAGCACCGACGATGACACCATCGACGGCCACTTCCACGTCCGAAGACAGCTCCGTGAGAATCATCTAGCCACCGAACACACACAGACCGCGAACAAGATGCTTTCGAGGTAGGAGCAGAGCTTCTTGTAGGGAGAAGCCCACTGGGCCGAACGATCACCGCCGAACGGCGGATCCGGTGACGAGCGGACGCAGGCCGTGCTTTCCTTGACGCGTTGTTGCCGCGTTGCACATTTAGTTGCACATCACCATTGCCCGTTTATCGTCCTATCGCCGTGAGTTGTGGCGGTGTTTTTGAGCCTCCCCTACTTGCGACCCTCCACAGCAAAACAATCACCCTCTTTTCGTTTTTGAGGTTGGCCGCCAGGGTGAAGACACCCTTGCTGGAACTTGCGGATAGACCCGTAGCTCTCAAGATTGGAGCAGCTTCCCTCGCGAGCAAAAACTGTATTTTTGGGTCACGCTTCCGTTGTGGGTCGCGTTGCGCCCTTTCCAACGCCCCGTTAGAGTTCATAGGCAGGCGCCGAGTGACACTCAAGGCTCTGTTATACACCGTGTCGAGCGTAGCAAACGCGGCGTAGCGTAGCGTTCAAAGATGCTGATTGGTCGCAGGTATCGAGTTCCTGCTCGCCGGCCAATGAAAGGGGCGAGTTCTGCGCTATACGCTGTGTTCGCTGTGCTCAGTGTTAGAGTATAACAGAGCCTCGACAGACGTTAGTTTACGCTCGTGGATCTTGCACAATGAGACGCTGGGACGCCGCTAGAAATTTAAATGGTCGCGTCTCGCGGACGCTTCCGGAGGCCCCTCTCTCGTGTCTCGGTTCCCCCTGGCTTAAAGAAACAGGCCAATGCCGGAAGAAATGGGTTTTCCTACACAATCTATTCCGAAAATCCCGGCTGAATGGATTCCTGAAATTCTTTATCGAGAAATAAAAGCTTATATATGCTTCCCTCAAAACAATTTAGGCGGAATCATACAGCAATTGGACGACACAAACTATTTTCGGTGTGCTGACAGCCCTGGCACAAAAGTTCAACTTTGTTTCAACTGTCGCTTCTTTGTGCAAACATATGCCTTGGAAGAAGGTAGGCTCGTTTAAATCTACTGACATTATTTGTTTTTTTTAAGAAAAAGCATACGCTGTGGGTAAGGACGCACAATTACATATTATATTTGGTGGCACAAGCTCACGAGAACGTTAAATGTGATCGAAAAGCGCCGTTAACGCGGGTTATAAAATTACTCTCGAATGTTAGCTATTCGTTTAATCTAGCATTGATAAACCCGTCCTTGTTTTGAGTTTTCGTTCATAAGTGTTATGACCGAATGTTATTCACAAAACTTACAGCCTTCCGTTTCTTTTCTTTTTTAGGGGGCGTAGAGATAGTGAGCCACACATTTTCTGACGGCACGCGAGGAGTGGCAGGCTGAGGCCACTTAGGCATCAAGCCTCCTTGCACAACCGCAAATCGATAGAACTTGAAGCTATAAGGTTTAAAAGCGCAAACAGACGATAGGAAATAACACAAACGTTCGAGTTATTTCCTCTCGTCGTTATTTCCCCGTTCTTTGTGCTGCATCCTATTGCCCCTGTCTGTCTACACTTTTAAACCTTATACCTACCATGAACCAACTAGCCCAAACCAAAGTTTTAATGGGAACTTGAAGCAACTGGACGCGCTGAATACTTCGATCAGATAGTCGCCCCTAAAACCTGCAACTATTCTTCCGAAAAGTCATGCGGCATATCTGGCCCACTGCTGCGGCACAAAAAAAGAGTTGGGCTTTCAGTCATGTCAATAACATTATGTACGTGACTTGTCGAAAGAAGGATGGATCCTCAATTTTATGTTAATACGATTTGCTAAGCCTTAAAAGTGAACCTTGAGGCAATTTTATGGCCGCTTTCTGGTCACAGTAAGCATTCTTCCGAACTTCCGGTATTTGATATTTTGTGTCATTGTATGTGCACTGCTCTTGAAACTTAATGCCGCCACTACCTTACTTAAATATTGATCTATTGCTGGTTACTCAAAGCTAAATTGGTCACTGCAGTAGATGGAATGAGGTCCAAAAATAACAAATAGTGATAAAAACGTACCATCTCGTAACGGCGTTAAGTTTATGTAACACTATTTCTACACGGTATATGCAAGCTTTTCTGTTGTTGTTGTTGTTGTTTTTAAGAAAAAACAAAGATAGAAAGTGCTAAACTAGACCAGCCTCTCATAAGGTTCTCGTGCGTCGCGAAGCGGCAGTTGGAAAATGGTTAAATTTTCTGCTATGCCGCTCGGCGCGAAATTAAAAATATAGATTCTAAAAATATTTTCCTTTGTTCCTATTGCGACAGTATGCAGGATAGGTCGCTAAGGGAATATCCTTTATAAACTATTGATTTTCCTTGCTCAATTTAGATAAGTTTTCCTTTTCTTTTACTTCCGATTTCTTCAATTTCTTTAAGTAAACAAGCTGGAGGGTCGTTGGTATGAGAACCTACAGATAATATATATGCCGTGCTTAATTATTGGTTCCTATGAAGCCAGCCAACAAATGATGAACAACTTGGCAGAAACAAATATCTACCACCTAACTTCGCATCTTAAATTATAAGTTCAAATATATCGTTATTTCGAATATACGAATTTATAAATCCAAGCTATATATTGCATTTGATTATATTGGATGTTCTAGATCACACCGAGCGCACTTCGTGCGCAAAAGAAAAAAAAATGTTTAAAATTGAATTTTTAAGAAAATGTACGTTGAAATTTGTACTTTTAGAGTTTCCTCTCTTATTCAAAGGCGTTTTTCGCCAACATACCTTTATTTGATTGTAACGATAACGTGCCTGTTGAAGATGTATTTGTTTAAAATATGAGGTCAAAAACTTTTCGCCTAAACCAAAGGTATCATTGTGGCTGTGTTCCAAATCTTACCCAAATGGATCGAAGTTACCCCGGCAGATCGTATCACGTGACAGCACAGATTGAAAAACGCTGGACGGGGGTAGGATTTAGAACGCCAAGGTAGAAAACCCTTACCCTGGAGTAGGATCGAGTAAATTTTGGAACACGGCCTGTGTGTGTGTCATGGTTAAAATGCATTATATATATATATGTGACCTAAATCAGTCTAGGTTTTTGTCTGAATTGAAGGGTGGCTGTGGTGTTTTGTGTTGTGAGTGAGGGTCGT